TATAATGGAGAATCAATGGAAAAGAAAATGGAAAATGAAATGGAAACTGGGTTTATATAGGGGATTATAGGGATTAGGGTTTCCCAAAATTAGGGGTACCTTTTTGGGGGTCCCAATAGTAAGGATTATAGCATTTTGGGGTCTATATTGGGGTCCCCCTATTTTGGGAAACTACCATATAGTGGTAATGGAAAAGAAAATGGAAAGTACTATAGTATACTAGGGTTACCATGGGGAGAATGCAAAAGAACATGGAAACTACTGTAATGGGGTTATATATGGCAGTTTCCCAAATAGGGGGACCCCAATATAGATTCCCCCAAAAAAGTACCCCTAACTTTGGGAAACCTACAGCAGGCGGCCAGCTAATCAATGGGCGGTCTTAGGGCTGCTTCCTTGTTGGGATACAAATTAGGCGTTGCATCTATTCATTGAGATTTAACAAGAGTATGACCGTTTGAAACTGAATTCAACAACGACCCAGTCAGTTTAGGGTTAGGGACAACGGCAGAAGTAGAAGCAACTACCTTGCGAGGGCTTCTGGCAATGTACAATATTTAATAAAGGCGCCCCCCTGAAATTAAATGACCCGTAACCCTGAACCCTAATGCCACTGTCAGGTTAGTCTAGGATGTCCTCGAATCAGCTCTCCCAAGTCTTCGAGTCTGCTCTAGTCTTCTCAGGAAAGTACGTGGGTCCTTGAGACAACTTCTGAAACCAAAGACCCTGAGTTGCTTCTGTCATTCTAGAAGAGGTCTAGAAATACGACAGGTAGCCCAGGAAGCAACGTTCCTCGTAATCAAACTTTAGTTAGCAAATCAACTGTCTGAATCAAATCTCCTATTCTTGTTTCAAGATCAGCGAAGTAGCATAGTCCTTCAAATCTTGACCCTTTCTGAGCTCATAATTAAGCAAAACCCTCCGATTATACATGTCGATACATATGTTTCTTCTTTACTTCTAGGGCTGCAAAGAACACGCTGCCTTTCAAGTGCTCTTGCACCCGAAGCTGGCCAAAAAGAGCTTTCTTGGAATCCAGGCTTGAACAGGAGCTCAATCCCAAATGCTAACGACAGTAAACCCTCCCGCAGTTCAGTCGCCTGCCTATTCACAAGGAGAGTTGCAATGGGTAGTAGTCAGGGTTCTCCGTCAAGCATTTGATTGGCACAGTACATGGCCGACAGGGGGATTTCTCCAGCAGTCACAGCTACAAGTTACAAGCATACCACTTATCAGTCTCCACAAGCATTGCCAAGGCAAGTTGCAAAAGCAAACATACACAAAAATTGCAATGCATGATCAAAGTACAAAGCCGCTGGTGATGCTACCCTATCTCCTAGAAAACAGGTTTATGGACCCCGGAGAGAAAACAAAGAGCCCCGTAAATGCTGAGATGCTCTGAACCCTGGACCACAAGTTTCAAACTAGGCCCTAGTCCCACTCTGTCTCCCACTTCGTAAGGCACTGGCCACTCGTCCTTGGGCTCTTCGTGCGCTGGTGAGGCAGATGCCTTGAATGCTTCCAAAGTTGTGGCCACATAGGCAAGGTTCGAAGAAGATGGGGGGGGTGACTTTTTGGAGGTTCCGATGCTGAGGATCAATATAGCATTGTGGGTGTAAGAACGGGGACCACTAATCATGGAAACACCCTTGAGGAGCCTTCCACTTATTCTAGCTATGATCCAAACTAGGGACCCCTGTTAATAATCCCGCGTGACCCCGACAGGGGAGGTCAGGGAGGCTTTTTCTCCATCATCCCGTATGCTGAAACGTTGTATGTGCGTCCGCGACATATATGCATTAATCTTGAGAAACTCCCATGTACACCGGACTAACATCGTCCTCGTTTTCAGGGCCCTAAACCTATGATCTTAGCAAACGCCCATCTCTCGTCCTATCTCTTGCAAGGGCACTGCTACTAGTACCTACTAGGAAACGGGCTAGAGCCGGCGCTGTGCTCATTGGTTGCAATGCATGCTACAGGCATTCCATTCCCCGAAACCCATCAGCCTGGCAAATGCTGCCAAACTGCATCTGCATCATCCCCTGGTGGCTTCGGTGTAGCTGATGGCACTGGTACCTTCTTCGTAGCAACAGGAAAACTGGGATGACTGGAAGGTCCACATAATCCGGATCATACTGTTTCCTGCAGCAAAAGCATGAACAACCCTCAACCCTAAATGCTCATGTACACTTGACATATTCAGAGGCTGGCAGCTACTCTGCCTGATCTCTTCGCTTTCTGTTTATTTCCTTTGCTGCAATGACGACTGAACCTGTTGTAGGAAATTGTCTGTACTAAGCATCTATGCAAACCTTTCTATACTGTATTATTCTGGGACATGACCAGGCTGGCAACCCTAGACCGTAAGCATAAACCTGCTGATGCAATGGCCGCGTCACTTGTGCCCTCCTCCGCAGTGCCCTCTGCAGAGCTGACATCCTACCTGACAGGTCCTGGCAGGCCCAGAAGCGGTGTTGCGGCATGAACAAAAATAGTTGGGAGGAACTATGATCAGTTTTGGGTACCGGGGACACCAAAAAAGACATCATGATTTGAGCAACCTACCAGTTGAAGTCGCTACAAGCCCTCTCCAGAGCGACATAGGGAAGAACTACCATCGGTCATGGCCATGCTAAGCCCATGGCGAGACATGAGCAGAATCGCAAGAGAGGTAGGCACCACAACCGCGGCAGCAAGAGGCCGAGGGAGGGTGCGTCACTACCATACTAACTACTTCAGATATGACATATGCAAGGTTCCGAACAAAGTCTCAGAGTCTCAATGCATGAAGTACATGCTGATATCGACTGACCGGCCGCAGTACGGGATGGAACTTGAGACAGATCCGTGCAGGATGTGGATGTGTTGAATGTTCAGACCCGATTGCAGGACATTAAGTCTGCTTACCAGATCTTCTCACAAAGGGAAGCCAGACGGCCAGTACTGCTAAACCCAAAAATGCACGTCCAAGATGCCTAGAATCACGAACACCTTACTTACCCTTCGCCCGTCAGCCAAAAAAAATACGCGTAGCCCACCTCGACTTTTCCTTGCGCTGTGGATACGGCATCCATTATCTCTGGAACCTGACCAGAGGGCTAGAAACTTCAATAGGGATTCCGGGCTGTTTCAGGCATGATCTCGGTATCACGTCGAGGGACTGTAAAGGGGGGAGATTATTGGAATTCTAATTTTCGGAAGACCGCGCTAAAGTTGCGATTCAGCGTCACTGCCGTCGTCAAGCAGATACTAACACAGGGCTCCCAAGTTCGTCACCAATTCATGATCTGGTCAGACGCTCCATCAAGACCAGAAAGAATTTAGCGTTCAGAGTTCACAGGTTTGAGCTTTGTGTTCACGACTCTTGAGGATTCGCGTCTGGACTGGCCTGCGCACGCCTTGTACTCAAATCTGAAATCCCTGCTCCTGAGCCAGAAACCAAACTCCCTACGTCCTCAACAAATCCAACACCACATGTTTGTCCTATGTTGGCGGAGTCTTCGCAAAATCTTGCAGCTGTACGTACTAACATGCCCTTTAAACCGCTTAGTCTTCATCAGCCCTGCTTGGAAATTCATGAGTACTTGTACATGGAGCTTCCATCGTACAACTGTACTTATATCTTATAACCTCAGTCAGGGGGCTTATGACCTCACTTAAAACCAACCATGAACCCTCATGTAAACCATGCCATCCCTAAACCCGAAACCCTCTAAATCCCCTAAAGCCTTATCCCCCTAAACCCCCTAAACCCCCTACTAAAGCCCTATCCCCCCTAAACCCCCCGCCCTAAAGCCATATCCCCCCTAAACCCCCCAAAGCCCTATCCCCCTTAAACCCCCTAAACCCCCTGAAAGCCTAGGACATTAAAAAAAGGGCCTGTAGGCCAGCAGCACTCATGGCCTGGGGCTCAACAGGGACTAAGTAAATGGGGTTAAGGGTTTAGGGGGATAACTGGGGTTACTATGGGATATAGGGGTTATAAGCACACCTACCACATCCCTCTGATGCTGCAAGTACCTGTAGGTGGGGCAAATCTTGCACCACTTAGGATCCCAAATAAACTGTAATTCCTAGGGTACAAGGTATATCACGATTCCGGTATTCATAGCAGTAGTACGACCCCCTGCGGTTCATAAAGGGACTATGAAAAATCCAGGGGGATCAGAGATCTCCGTTGCTTCGTAGGCTGTTGATGGGAGCTGTACACGAAACAATGTAGACTCTAAGCCGTTTGCTTTTAATTAGCTTTCGAATGTCTTTAAGCGAATCTTAAGTTGATCTTGATTTGCTTTTCAGTAGGGCTAGAGATTCGTTTTGAAACTGGTTGTAACTCCTTCATTTCACAATCGTGTTAATCATGTTAATTTTGTGAAATTGCTTGGTTTTGTTTTGAAGTTAAGTTACCCTGATTGGAAGTTTTGTATTGATGAAATGTTGACAGATCTTCATTAGGCCTCGAGTTCACTTGAAGTCATTGGCTTTAACCAGCTTTGTAAAGGGAACCCCGACCTATACTTTCAATAAACATCCTCCCTTAATCCAAAACAAGCGTGCCGCGGATTGCTGCATATTGGGTAGGGGGCAGGGGAACAACGTTTTGTCAGTGGGATGGGATTAAATAGGCAGGATTACATAGAGACTGTGGGTGGTAAGAAGACTATCTAGGCTTACAAGATCTATAGATGTTCTGGGGCTACAAGGGCTACGTAGAAACTGTGTGTATTTCACAAGAATTCAGAGAGCGTGATAGTGAGGATGCACGGATTGCGTGGATATGTTTATATCTATAGTGAGTGAGTGCACTACTACTAACTTGTGGCCATGTCTTAAGACAAGGTTCCCACTCTTAGCCTGCGAACTTAGGACCACCTAACTATCAAGATGCCAAGACAAAGCGCGAGATGTCGCAGACGAGGACCCCTGACCTGTTTTTTGCCTTCACGCTGCCTGTGTAATCTCCCACAAGTCATGCCTTGTTGCTTTTCGGAATTAGGGCTGTCTTGCTTCCGGCACAAATTGTGGGCTTCCAACCTTTCACTGACGCAAAACCACCTCTACCTTAACGCTACGCAAAACCACCTCAACCTTAACACTTACTGTACTTCAAAGCCCGATTAACTCTACAGAACCCTCTGGGCTCGCGGCGTCAACGCATCGCGTTGCCGCCTCAACAGCGGCGAGCAGCGCAGCTCCGTAGGCAGCCGTGGGGGATGCCTGGCGTTGTTTAGGGCTATAGTCCACCCCAAAGTAGGGATTATTGGGGTTATATAGTGATTATAGGGTATATATTGGGGTAATTTAGGGATAATGGAAAAGAAAATGGCCACTACAGAGGGTTATATGGGGATTATGGGGTATATATTGGGCCAATATAGGGATAATGGAAAAGAAAATGGAAACTGCAATTTAGGCTGTCGGGTGTAGGGTTGGATATATAGTCCCCCTTAAGTAGATAGAATATGGTGTATATGGGGATCCTATTATGATGTACCCAAAGCTATATTCTATCTACTTCAGGGGCACTATAGAGGTTGTGGGGCTAAGGGTTTAGGATTTCAAGGCACAGGGCTTAGGGTTTGGGGTTCTTTGGCTGAGGGTTGCGTTTGGGGCTTCAGTGTTTGAATTTGGACGATTTTTTTTTGACCCTCCTGCAGGATTTGGGCTAAGGGTTTCAGAGCTTCGGCTTGGTTTAGGGATTAGGGTTCTGGGGCGTAAGGCTGGTGTCTGGCCTTTCAAAGCTTTGATTTAGGGCATTCAGGCGCACAGATTAGGGGGGTCAGGGGTTGTACAAACTTGGGGGTTTCCCAAAATTAGGGGTACCATTTTGGGGGTTCCCATAATGAGGACTATAGTATTTTGGGGTCTATATTGGGGTCCCCTTATTTTGGGAAACTACCACTTAGGGTGTGAGGCTTCAAGGCGCACAGTTTGCCTGTAGGGTTTCTTGCGTTCAGGGTTTGGGGTTCTAGTCCCCATAAAGTAGATGGAATGTGGCTTTGGGTATATTATAATCACATCCCCCTAGACCCCATATTCTATCTACTTAAGGGGGCTACAAGTTTAAGGGCTGCATGGCCTAGGGGTTGAAAGCTGTCTGGCTCACAATCTGGGTCTAGGTCAAGGGTTTTCGCGCTCAGGGTTTGGGCTTTGAGCCTTTAGGGCTCACAGTCTTTGGGTGCAGGGTTCAGGGTTTCAGGGTTTAAGGCGGCTATGGGCTTTAGGCATCAGAGCTTTGGGCTTTAGAGCTCGCAGCTGAGGGCTCAGGATTGTTGGGCTGAAGACTTGGGATTGGGAGCTGTAAGGCTAGTGTTTCCAGGGCTAACGGTTTAGGGTTGAGGGTTTGAGGCTGACGGGCTAGAAGGTTTAGGGATGAGGGATTTTTTGGGGCTCTGGGTTTCGGGGTTTCGGGGCCCAGGGTCAAGTTGCAGTTTGAGGGCTATAGGAGCTCAGGGCTGGAAGGGTTCAGGCCTTACTTGGAGGGTCGGGGGGACTTAGTAAGTAGGTTCATTGGGGGGCCAAGTGGGGTGACTATATAAGCTATAGGGGCTATTAACCTACTTACTAAATCCCCCCCTTGATCCTCCAAGTAAGGTCTTAGGCCTCAATGTTTCGGGTGGTTCCATGCAAAGGTCCCATTTTGGAGGAGGATACCAAGAGATACGGATCATGGGATGCAGGCTTTGGGGGAGTTCGGGTCCAGAGGATCCACGAAATAGGTACTGTAGGGATACAAGGAGTGTGGCCCTGGCTTCAGGGGCTCTATGCGAACCTCCGAAGGTGTCGTGGCCTGGGTTTAATCCAAAAATAAATTGTGGGAATCAGATGTGGATTCTGACTGTAGAAATACCATTGCAGCAGTTTGAATGGGCATTGATGTCATGAGTCCATCCTCCGAGGTAAGATCGTCGTAAGCCTAGAGTACTGTCTAGTTCGAAGACTTGAGCCTGCTATCACCTTGTTTTGAGTATGTGTGCCTTCGGTTGCAAGCCACATCACCCAAAGTAATACACATGCGCGAAAAGGTCCATAGATTGCACGCCCTCGTACTTTTGGGCACATGTAACAAGCTTCTATTTGAAGACTACCCCAGACACTTTTTTACCGTATAGCCCGGTCACAATGCTACAACATGACTCCGGCATCAACCATGCGGAATTCTCCATGGCATCCAACATCTTACCATATATGGGAGCTTCTTCACATCAGGCTATGCATGCATCTGACAAAGCTTAATCCTTAAGTACCCTTGCGCAACTCTCTCACAAAGAAGCGGGAGTTTCCCAAACTTAGGGGTACCTTTCTGGGGGTGGCCTACTATACTAACTAAGGGGTCTATATGTGCTATAGTCTAAAGTCCAAGTATCCTGCTTAGTAGTTCCGTATATAATCCCTATATAACCCCCTTTAAGGAGTTTAGACTACAGCTCATATTGAGGCCCCCTATTTAGGGAAACTACCAAGTGCTCCCAGCCTCCGGATCCGCTTGCCTCGGTTGTCAGGATATGGCTTACTGGTGCTTAAGGGGGAGCGGGGGAATGAATATAGGTACCATTATAGGGGTACATCTGGGGATCATATAGGGATTATTATAGGGATCCCCTCCCCCACTCTCCACTAAGCACCAGTAAGATGGTTTTCAATCAGTCCACGACCAAAGGGCTACATAGGCTTAGATTTTGACACGTGCCACGCTGGGACTCAGAAACACACTGCAAATGCTACATGGTCCCTCTACAGAAAGATGCCCACTTCCAACACCTCTCCCATTGACTTCTTCCAATTCTTGAAGCTGCTACAGAATGTGATATATGGGGGGTTTCCCAAAAATTATGGGTACCTTTTTGGAGGTGCCTAGAATAAGGATTAGAATAGATTGGGGTCTATACTGGGGTCCCCCTACTTTGGGAAACTACCATATATCACTGCTGCCCATCACCGTCGCAGCGTGCCACCGAAGGGCGGCCGATGGGTCAGCGGAGCCTGTTCGTGATGCACGCTGCTTCATGTAGATATAGTAAGTAATAGGCCCGGGTCCCTCCAATATAGCAACTTAATTTCTTCCAGCAGATTCGGGGATGTCTCGAAATCAGTTCGACATGGGGGAGTTCCCAAAATGCCGCGGCCATTAGAGACCCTGAGCAAGCATGCATAACTATGCATGCATGCATACACACCTGCCTACATACCTACCTACGTACATACGTACCTACCTACATACTTGCCTACCTAGCTGCGTACCTACATACCTACATACCGACATACCAACATACCTGCCTGCCTGCACATATACTTGTACATATACATATCATACATATGCCTCTAGATATGTATATGCATACGCTTACATGGGGATTCTGGCAGTCCCCAAGCATTCTAGAAGAGCACTTTCTACTTTTTACCCACTCCCAGAACCTCTTCCGCGTATTATAGGGGATGCCATGTTTGGGGTCCATGCTTTGACCGTAATCGGCCACAGCCCCCACTTATGGAGCTCCTGTTGGCAGCGCCCTTTGAACTTGCGAGTGCTAGTTGGCTTCTGGAGCACTATCTAGACGTGGCTATTGTACTAGAAATGGGGTGCAGTAGAAGTCCTTAGGACCTTAGGACTACGTTTGAGATGGATTCGAGAGGAAAGGCAGGGACCCCACACGGTTGTGTCTCAAGCACTTTGTCGGATGACCATACCAAATTACACACCCAAAACCAATCAGCATGATTGAGAATAGAGTCCTCCTTGAATGGATGGAGCTTCAAGGATAAGGCGGGGAACGCAGGTGGATCTCACTCTGTTTGCAGCCCGTCTGCTGCAGGGTAATCATTGTTGCAGCCCCACATTACCAGCCATGAAGACCCCTCCGCGCCCAATCCAGAAAACTGCTGCCCGAAGGGTTCAAAGTCCTGGTTTAGGGTTTAGGTTCTACACCATTCATTCTGAAACCCAGATATGAAACTTGAAATACTAGAGCGCTAAATGCACAAGCACATAAGCCAAACTCTTATGCTGAAAGTTGCCCCGAACACCAGCGGGGGCATCAAGTCATTCACTGAGTACTGCCTACCCTCTGCTCGGAGGTTCGTGGGTCATTTGTCAAAAGCCCAAGGAATAAGTCCCTTAACAAAGGTTTATAGTTTATAGTGGTCATAACATGAACCTCCAAATATACTTGGAGCACCGCGGACATCTGCCATCCCAACTGCGGGATTGGAAGAAAATCCGGCTTTGATTGGGCTTCTGGGCTAACATCTGTAGGGTTATGAAGGAAGTATAGTAGTTATCAAGTAGTCAGGCTCTTATAGATCTACTCTGTAGCGAATCTTGCGTGTTTATGCCTGTTTGTTGTTACACTTAAGTCCTGAGGCCCTACACAGCCAAAGTCCCAAAGCCTCTAGGCCTAGGCAACTGAAACTCCTCCCGCCTCCTCCCCCGCACCACGGCAAGTTCGGGGCTCTGGTTTTCTAGGAAACGGAAAGTCCTGCCGGCATTGCTGTGGTGTAGTGCTGAGTATGGTTTGTGGGCCAGGAGACTACTACCTTGGCTACAAGGCTTGGAACGATTGAGGTCGGGCGATGGATTAGGGAGAAGCGCTCACAATATTAAATCAGGGAGTCATCGGGGCAGTTCTCAAATTTTAGTGTCGTGTCTGGGGGGCCCAATTGCAGACCAGTCTGGATGTGGTACCCAGTTGCATGCCCCAAAGTGGAAGCGCGCTTTGACCATCCCCTTATGCGGATCGCCATTGACAGCCTGCTCCCTAGTGTGCACACTTCACTAGGGTCCCTGAGAGGCACCAGTTCAAGTGCAGTGCGAGATACAAAGTCTTCTCCATAACATCTCACATTAGAGTCTGAACAATTTCCCGGATTCTTCACTCGCTATTCCACTATAGACCTTGGTGAGCAACAACTCGAAGACCGTTTTCACAATTGTTGCCACGATGAAGCTATATGAGCTACTGTCTAAACTCCTAGTATCCCCCAAAAATAACTTTGTAGTAGTCCCCTATATAATCCCCTATATAACCCCCCTTTACGGAGTTTAGACTGCTCATATTGCACTGTAACATCCTCTCCTGGCTCCATGCCTGGCGAAGCTGGTCCGGCGCATCACTTTGGACCTTGGAGGAGCGACTTGCAGACAGAGGGTGTCTGTGGCCCTTTCTGCTTTTCCTCTCTCGCATTCCCTTGCGCAGGAAGAGGCCAGAGCAGCCATCGTCGTCCCCGTTTGTCACCACCACCCCCGTCTTCGTCCTCGTCATCATGTCATTGTAGTCGTCACAGCCAACACAGTCGGCGCAATGATCGTCATCGATGCTGCCGACACCGCGGCGGGGCGGTCGTGGCGGTAGCAAACGCGATGCAATTTCTAGCAATAACGACAATACAAACCCACATCAATCCAGCTGACGGATTTACGCGCTGTGGCGGAAGACCGAAAGAATCATCATGCTCAAGGCTTGCGCTTTGTGTACTGCGCTTGGATTGTTAGCGGAGGATCTGTATTGAGGCAAGTGCGCACCTGCCCTCTCTAGCAGTCTGGAGAGTTCTGAGACTACGACGCTGCTGACACCTAAGCACTTTGAAGAAAACCTAGAGAAACTTAGAACACCTTAGAACACCAGAAACAGACCTCACGCCTGACGCTTGGAATCCCACCACCAAAACAGCTTTGAAAACTTCAGGCGGCGGAGTCCCACCTAATTCCACGACTCTCAGTGCGCTGCCGCCTCGATCGCCAGCAGCAGAGTTTGTTGGTCGTCCACGGCTGCGATCAGCTCCTCCGTGCATGTTCGTTAGGAACGATTACCAAAGTGTTCTGTACGGTGGGCGAATACAATAATTGTACGTCAACTTTGTGAATCATGCCCAGAAGTGATCATGGCTTGTCAGAAGGTACACGCACCTGATTCATCCATATCACGTTTCTGCTTTAAGGGTATTGGCAAGTGCCTCATCTTGGGCGCGGCTGAGACTAGTGCTACGATCGCGCGAATGTAGTTTCTCTTCTTCCTCCTGCCACTCCTCACGCAAGTATTGACAGCCCAACTGAGGCATCCGGCTGCCTGTCAAGGAACGACTAGATCTCACATAAGCTCTACAGCGCTACCTGAGAGCCATAGAACTCTATCTGACATACGTGAGAAATCATCCTGCGACCGGAATATCCGTAGCTTTGGAACCGCAACAGCGAACCCTGACCATGTTTGGAAACTCCACATATCCTACTAAGCCTCCATAGACGGCGCGTGGATGAGAAGTTTGTTGCTGGTTGAACAAGATGAGATCAGTCCCGGTATTGATATCAAGAACACAGCCATTCCTGTTTTTAATTCCCCTGTCCCCAACATGTAGGGTCTCTTGCGGGAAATGATGAATTGTGGGCGTGCAGGGCCGGCTGTTTAATGATAGGGAGAGGGGATTAGCTTCACATACTACTCTGGCCAGAAGCAGCATGAAATCCTACTTTGTATTGAAAACTATAGTGTCCCTGTCGAAAGTACTACATAACCTCTACATAATCCAAATGTCCATGTCATTGTCCATTTGATTTTCAGTTTGATTCTTCATGGGAAATTCGGGAAAGAACCCCATCATTGACCCCTACATAAGCTTTATATACACCGTACACAATACCCTATAGCATCCGTATATCTATATATATCTATATATATTCCCTACGTAATCCTCATAGTACCTCTAAATGCTGAACTCAGATGTGGGTGGTTGTCAAAATCATGGTCCCTTTTTGGATACCTATTGTAATACGGCACCTAATATTTGGGGTACCCGAAAAGGGACCATAAATTTTGACAACCGCCCATGTGGAGATCCATGGTCTCCTCCAAGGAACACAGAGGGCCCCCTGGTCAGGCAGGAATACGTACCGTCAGCTCTAATGATAAAGGTTTAGGGGTTAGGGTTTAGGGTTGAGGGTTCAGGGTTTAGATTTAAGGTGTGGACTTTGGTAATTCTTCACCCCCC